CTGGTAATGACCACGGGTGTTGGTTGCCCTGGTGATGACCACGGGTGTTGGTTGCCCTGGTGATGACCACGGGTGTTGGGTGCTCTGAAGGTGATCCCAGGTGATGGGTTCATTTGTAATGACTGGATGCATGGAGCCGGGAACAGCCACTGGTGGCGCTGTATACAATCAAAACCTATCGAGACTTGCCGACGCTCTGATTCAGACTTCAGACATTCAGAGTGTAAAGACCAGAAACTATGGGGTGAGAATACCGCTAAAATTAGCTTGGTGTCATTATTTGAACATTGTTTAGTTGTTTGGTCTTTATTTGGAAACTTGTTTGGTTATTATTTGGTCATTATTCAGTTATTTGTTCTTTATTTAAACATTATTTTGCGCTTATTCCATTATTGTGTTATTACTGCAGCATCGTATTGTTATTGTTTCATTATTTCAACTTTATTTCTTAAAAATTTTATTATTGTGTAATTGCTACAATATTTATTTTGTCATTGTTTCATTCGATTACCTGACCTACATTAGCTGACCCCGCTATACATGTAGTATTCAATCCATATTTCCGGGCCGCCTCCGATAAAGCATTGCTCATGATAGCGATGTAGCCTTTGTAAAAGTTAGCGAGAATTTTTAAATGATGGCCGTTTCCATCAACATCCGGGGAACTGACTGAGGTCGTCAGAGCCTGTCGTGACACAATATCAGAAGCCGCAAAACTTGACACGACGCGCTCCTAGCAAAATTTGCGAGAGATGATCCGACTTGATCATTAGATGATGATTAGAACGTGCCAAGAACTAATCACAAGACCTGTTACCGTGTCATGAAAGAGCAACTAATATTCATCAAGCTGGTATTTTTTTTTTTAGATTTTATTTTTCATTCTTTTTGCCTGTTTTTCCAGTTTAAAATGTGAGCTGACTGGAGCCTTTATCCCTTGTCTATTACACTAGCCGATACCAGCCGATCACGCCCCCTCGCTCATAGGTACCGCGTACAGTTTATTTTAGTTCCTGGGCTTCCTGTGGTCTGAGCTGTGAAAAGTGAAATCAACAACTCGTTTCTGGTGACGAGGCAGCTCGTTGGAACTGGCGTCGGCACTACTAATGTATCACAATCATGCAGGACTGTGTTACAATGGAGCTGTTCATCGGAAAAGCTGTTCCAAAGGTTTTTTTGAGATCAGGGGATTTTTTTCTATTTTTTGTAGGGGGCGGGAAATATCAGTACCCCCCCCCCCCTGTAGCCAGGGCAGATTTCTTAAAAAATGGAAGGACAGGGAAACTTTTTTTTAGTGGGTAGGGTGCTTACATAAAAAATATCGTAGGGTATAATAAAAAACGCATTGGGGGAAATGACAGCGAAAATTAATTCCAGCTATAATAAAGTATTTTACTCTATATCAATTAGTCTTTTCGAGCCTGAAATAAGATACTAGTAGTTAACTCTAAAGTATTCCTAACCCTAAGTCATAACATCTCAGACTACTACAGTAACATTGACATGCGTGCATCGGTGTTTTTTTTATTTCATTCAAAAGATTTAGGGACACGGAAAAAACACGCAGAAATATTTTTTCTTGTTTATACTCCACACAAAGAGTAATTTGTCAGTCGTGGCGAGTATGTGTGACAGTTTATTATTTATAATAAAATTATGTAATTTTTGGTACGGTATCACTCTTTTGGGAAGATATGTTGGCCCTGAAAAGGACCGTTTAGTTTAGTTTCGTTAGAAAACGATATGAATTTACTCCAATCTATGACCCGCGTATGGGGGTGTAGGGGTGTCGATCTTCTTAGCAGTGAAACTGAAACGGACACGTCGTGAAAATTACAACTCAACCTCGATTTATTCTTCAATAGCATACATACACTGTCACGGTGGCAGCGGCAGCGGTCGCCCCACGAAGAAAATGTTGGGGGCGTCGCCCCTCCAGAATCAAGCGGAAACCCTTTGTGTCAGCAAAATTTGCCCCTCAAAATGCAGAAAATAGCGTTTTAGAGGGTCTAGATTTCAAATTTGTGCATGCCCCCGGATCCCCTAGAGGTTGTGAGCAGATCTCGCCCCCGACGGATGTAAAGTTTCGTGCCGCCCCATCTGAATCACAGATGTGAACTAAAACGAGTGCCAAAAACGCACAACGTTGCCATAGATCCCTTCGAGTAACAATTTTTAGGGCGGAGGCGTTCTCATGAACCCAATAGAAATACGGTGTTTACTCCGATGTTCGAAAAAATATTGGCCAAATAAATGCACGGTGTGCTTACTAGTAGTTTCCCATATTGTTATGAAATGATGATTCTAAGAAGTATACTGTCAATAAATGTGATATGAATAAACATACATTATTCTATAAACCGTCAAAAGTTTTATATAAAGATCGATAAAACGAATGAATACCGCCAACACATACTGATATTTCTGGAAATTACGTACTAAATACATTGTGCGGTGATTGTCATGATTTATATTTTCATGTGCTTGGATGAGGCCGTTTTTTGTAGTCATGGCGACATTCACTGATGACCCCTGGATAATCCAGACCTGCTGTAACTTGTCATGATCAGGTTCATTCGTATGTTAGGAAATTAGTGAATGGAACAACTGGCTGATATAATTGCGACTATAGAAGTTGGTTAAGTCAACGAGGCGCCTATAAATACGGGAGTTATGTCCCGGCATCGGGGGCAATTAATCTGACATTATGGCGTGTTAATGCCATAATGTCTTTGTGTGATTGGCTATATGCGAATTGAATGTATCTAGGCAACGCCTCAAGCTCTTAAACTCCTCTGTAATTGGCTAACAGTTAAGAAATGAATACAGCTGATCTCAGTTAGTTGTGGCAAGCTCACCCCGAGGCAAGCAGTCCTGGGGCAGCCTTGACGCAGTCTTAACGCGCTCTTGAGAGAGTTCCGACGTGGCGCTGAGATGAGAGGTTGAAACGATTCGATTCTCTGTATGCCTTTGTTCGATAGAAAGGTGGAGAATTGGTACCTCTGACGTGAAGGTTTAATAACACTCAAATTAATCGATCACATGATACTGAGCAGCAAATGTTTATTACCACAGTTTCATCTATCGACAACCTTGTGCAGCAAGCGAAATTCCACAGTTACAACTGCAACCCAGTTTATTTAGTCCATGGAGCAACTTATGAAAACCCGTTGCAACCGGGGGTATGCATTTCGATGGAATTCAGCTCCCCATCTACTAAATAGCAAATTTCTAGTCAACTACAGAATTGAGTTTTGTCAACCGTCGGAATAGGCTACTTTGGCCAGTAATATATGGGGAATTTGACGGAGGAGAAATTCACAGCAATCGAATCAAAACAAAATTGAAACTGCTTTGCGAGAGGAAGTCGACATTTACCAAAAACCTCGAAGACAGCATAATTATGATTACTGCAGATGCGAGGCATGGCTGGCGAAAAACTCTTGTGACACTGACGTGATTGCTATTGGCAATGAAACCCACAAATTCATTGCCAATGCAGTTGTTACCAACGAAGACATCCGATTTCGTAGCGCCATGAAATGAATGGCGCGCTACAAATCAGCCGTACAAATATATCGGCATCTTGACAATAATGAAGTGAACGTAAAAAATCACGCCCATAACAGGAATATGTCTGTCAATAAGTACCTGAGATAGGAGAGGCCGGGGAATGAGAATCAGAATGATACATGGTTCAACTTTCACTTAAAAAAAAAGAACCGTGATGGCACTACCAAGTCCACTGAAAGGCCGGTTATTGATCGTGTCAGCCGTGTCACGATCATCTGTTTAATAATTCCTCCTCACTTCAGTCATCGCATTTGGAGAAATAATATTCTCTAACCAAGTTTGCGGCATTTGATATTATGTCACGACAGGCTCTGACGACCTCAGTCATTCCCTGGATGTTGGTGAAACGACCATTATTTAGAAATTCCCGCTAACTTTTACAAAGGCCGCATTGCCATCTTGAGCAATGCTTTATTGGAGGCGGCCCGGGACTATGGATCGAATACTACATGTATAGCGGGGTCAGCTAATGTAGGTCAGGTAATCGAATGTTGAGGTAATCGCAAGTCAAGCGAACCGAATGTTGAGGTAATCGCAAGTCAAGTGAACCGAATGTCGAGACATTTAGACGTGAAAATAACCGAATCTTATGACAATTGAATGTCAAGATAATTTCTAAATAACGACACAATTGTAACACAATGAAACAATGACAAAATAATATTGTAGCAATAACACAATAATGGAATAAGCGCAAAATAATGACCAAATGATAACCAAACAAGTTTCCAAATAATGACCAAACAACTAAACAATGTTCAAATAATGACACCAAGCTAATTTTGGCGGTATTCTCACCCCCATTAGAAACAGTTGTTAAATTTGGTGACCAGTTTAGTATGATAGAACGCGTGTACAGTCTTCAAATTACCGCAATAGACAGAGTGAGGGTCAAGACTTAATATACGTGATTCCCGCTTTCTATTCCAGCGACTGCATGCTAAGCAAAATATTTCTACACACTCCAACCATGTCATACTCTGTAATATTCAATTACAATTCTGGTTCCCCAATAACTCTGTGTGCTTTGGATATAGTGGTGATGACGGGTGCACTGATGGTGATGACGGGTGCACTGACGGTGATGACGGGTGCACTGATGGTGATGACGGGTGCACTGATGGTGATGACGGGTGCACTGATGGTGATGACGGGTGCACTGATGGTGATGGCGGGTGCACTCAGGCTGATGGTGATGATGTGGGAAACTGTTTTTGTTTATTTTTCCCGTCGGGCGGACAGCGTCACTCTGTATGTTTATGTTTACGTTCATACTTACTTTATACTCTATTTATGTTTGATCTTAATTATTGTAATTATATTAATTGATTTAATTAATCCCTGACACCTGGTCAGCGCAATGTAATGTTTTGGCGGCACCTCTCATGTGATATAATGTACTGATGGTGATGACGGGTGCACTGGTGGGGATGACGGGTGCACTGATGGTGATGACGGGTGCACTGGTGGTGATGACGGTGTAATGGCGGTGATGGCGGGTGCCCTGGTGATGATTGCGGTTGTTGGGTGGTCTGGTGTTGATCACGAGTCTTAATCCATCAGAATTTTAAACATGCTCCTCGAGTTGTTTTACGAGTAGTTGAGTTGAAATCAAAAAAATAAATTTTCCACCTTTTCCATACTCTTGTCATTGTACCACTTATTTTTATCTCCAGCACGCACTGGCAGTTCTATTATGGCTAGAACTACAACGTTTAAATAACATTGTAGCACTGTTGTCATGGCATCCAAATAATATTTTGTCAAAGTATCTCCAAGTGCTTATCTCCATCAGAATTCCATTTTTGTGAAAAAAATGGCAAATGGAATTGTTTGGTTACTATACTCACTAAAGGCGAAAAGTGAAAAAAATAAATCACAACTTAATATCGCACAAACTTACACTGTTTCATTTTTTAACCATATATGTATATCGCATTTTATTGTATTTTAGAAAAAAAACTTGAGGTGAAATCCATAGTAAGAATGTGAAATTATGTCATACATTTTCTAATCTTGGTTGAACGCCATACTGAGAGCGCCCCCATGTGGCAAATCTAGACAATTTTGACATTTACTACTCAAGTCAACGTGCTCATAACATTCACATGTACAAGTATGAATGCAGATTTTAAGGTAAATGCCTCGTTTTCATAATTAACTCATTGGAAATATTTAAACGTATTTCTACTCATCCCGCAAATGAAAAAAATGAGGAAATGCATATTAGACGATAGACCAGTGACAAGAGTTCGGCAAAGTGCGCCACCTATGGTGAAACCTGTTTTGGTCGTTTCATTCGTTACATCAGATGGTCATACAACAATAATACAATGTTTGTTGAACAGTTAAAGCTATTTGGCATGGTTCCCCACTTTCTCTAAAATATCAACTTTTTTAAAACTTGTTATTGAATACTGAATGCTCTGTATGGTACATGCAGTAATAGTTTACTGACCAAATCAAAGAAATGTTTTTACTGCACGTGATTCAAAGTGATTAGAGAAACATTAACTTATTGACATATGTTTGTATATCTGTCTAGCAACGAGAGAAACTTGGCGATGCATTGCGATTGTGTTGCGATTATTAGATGGTCGCATGCAAGGTTTCAACATAAATTTCCTCCGAGATAGATTCAATTTCGTCAGTGCGCAGTTCTAATCTGAAAATTTGCAATTGCTTATTGTTCTGTGTGGATCGGAAATAGCGTTTATTTATTTTTTTATTTCCCTCGTCTGCGTAAATTATTGTTAAAGCGTCACAGATGCTTCATGTGAGTCCCATGCGACGCATACAACGCGAGTAATATACGTTGCATGTTTACATGAAACTCGATCGCCCTGTGCGTCTAATGTTTTGCTTTCAACCACAAAATGTTGACTGTGTTTCAAATCGAGTCTACGTTCAGTGACATTCCCCTTTACGCAAAACGGGGTACATTTTGCTGACATCAAGGGAAACTTACATTTAAAGTCAGGTCATTGAACTCGCTTTTACGTGCTTACACGAGCAGCAACATTCCAGTGTCACTGGGTAATGTCGCAGAGCTGGGTCATAGATCACAATTGCCTCGCAATTGTGTTGAATAATGAATACAATTTGTATTAAAGTAATAAAGATAATTTATTGTTGAAACATGTAAATGTTTATTTGGTAAACTCATATAGCTTTTGAAATGTTGCCAGTGTCGGAGAGACGGTTTGTTTAAGGTGGTGGGGGTCATGTTGTCTGTGTAATTTTACCAATTGTTGAATCGATCAATACATTAATTAGTATTACACATTCATTTCGAATCTTCCAGTAGTTATTTTTTTCAAGAAGGGGGAGTTCTCGCTCAGAATTGTGCAAAGGAAATCACCTGCCACTTGGGCATATTATATTTGCAAACTATTTCCGGTTTGCTTAATAGGTTGATGTATAGTATATGGTTGTCATGGTTGCTGCACGCCTTCCCACTGTATTTGGTTGAAGCTATACCCATAGGTCATACATAGACCCTAATCATGTTATTTTATCAACGACAAACACTGTATACAAGTTTTAAACCATAGTTAAAATATACCTTGAGGATGTATGGAAATGAAAATGAAATGTCTATAGACATTTAACCAAGGCATCCTCTTCTCGTGTTAAAACTTTGTAAATGTCTATAGACATTTCATTTAACTAAGGAGAAGTGCTTAAATCTCTAAATATGATATTGTCATGACGTAATCGCTTTTACTGTATAATTTTAGTATGTCTGGTCAGCGTCCATTCCCATCAACGTGTAGTGAAATGTATAACACCTGGATTCAGTTGCAGAGAGTTTTCACCGAGCATTTAGATTAGTATAGAATTTAGTATATTTCGCCTCATGGGAACTAAACCGAACACGGCACGACAGCCACCGTCCTTTACATTAATTATAGCAGTCTGTGTCATAGATTTGTTTGACATAGATTGAGCATGCATATAATATGAGTTGGACTACGACCATGCTATGTAGTCGGGTCCAGAAAGTCGGCGTAACCATAGAAACCACCTGTTGCTCATCTTCATATACAACTTATATTTACATGCGTATAGTTCATAAACGTTAATGCTAATGATTGGCATATTAGATACGTATCACGATAGCTCGTTACCCTGCGTGGAATAATGGTACGGTCTAAGCCAGTGGTAAGTTGTATTTTGGTATATTTGTTTTATATTGTTTTTTTCATGCATCTCAGTATCGTTTCCGAGTTTGCGCTAGGTCCCTTGTTCAGACGATGCGTATTGTAAATAAGGACATTTCCCTACTTGCAATCTGCCATTTCAAGCTAGGAAAATTTCTTCGTCTGGGCTTTTTTGCATTTCCTTTTCTTTTATTTATTTTTTTCGTTATTGTTTTACTTATGTGTAGTCAACTGTCATGTAAGTTTTTGTCTGATGCCCTAATATATGTCACGGTGATGCGCACATTCTACTACTCTACAACTGGAACTTGCGTCAGATGTTTTAATATAAACTAGAAATAATATAAACTTAAAGCGCGGTGGTCGTATTTCATGAAAATAAACAATCAATTTTACACGCGTTGTATACGTCGCTATGAGTCCCATATCGAACAGAACGCGGCACGACGACTGCCGCCCTTTAATATAAACTAGCATTCGGAAAGCGCTGACCTCCGTCAAACAATTTTTTACCCATATATTGTGACTTACATCTAACATTAATGCCACTACATTCATTGTATACACATTATACACTCCGCATTTGAAATTATACTTATATGATTATTACTGCAGTTCCTGTTTCCATGGCAAATCGATCCACATCGATTGTTTGTTAAAATGAAAATATTTCCAGAAATTGTTTTTTTTCATGACAACTATATCTGAATATGAATCGAATTGGGTCGTATCAATGCCGACACTCTCATGAAAATTTTATGTGAATCAATGTACACGTTTTTGAATTATAATTCATTCCCGAAATTCCATGGCAACCAGATACACACTTTTATCAACATCAAGGGCAATCCCATGAAAATCTGTACATAATTTGTTGCGTTATGAATGAAAAAACTGTTGTTGCTATGGAAACCATATTTGAATCTTAGCCCAAATCTAATCTGTTTGTTCATTCTAAGAGCAACGGCTCCTGAATATGTTATGAGAATTCATCAATTTTTTATTTCCGAAATTGCTGTATTCATGGTAACCCTATCCATATCTGGCAATCCCTGCTATACATTTTATGAGTTATCTTGCGTCTGCACAAACATGTTCGGACAGCATATTTCGCCCGAACAAACATGTTATCGACAGACGCAAGCCCTGCTATCATGATATTTGATAAATCCAGCGAAATAAACATAGTAATAACAGCATGTACTTCACCACTACAACTGAAGCATAATAAAGCGGCGTAACGAGTACGTTTCTATAAATAGCGAGGTTGTAAAGAAATTCGTCTTCCCACACGCATTCATGATTTCCGTAACAATACATTGAACAAACAACAACAGCACTTGGTTTCATTTTGTGTTTTCCACATGATCTTGTTGTACCACTGTATCCAAATGACATTTTGGAATGAATTAATATTTGAGTTGTTTGTAGTTGAACCACGAAATTTCCCAAATCCTATCTTTCATTTGCTTGTGTCAAAACAATACACCGTATACCAAGATTGCTGTCAATTTAAATAACAGACTAGGGCAGACTGGGTGCATTTCCTGATACACTGAAGGCGAGCAAATATGCTTGTATACTGAGCAATAAATCGTTACTGTGTAGACTGTATCGTACGTGGTATAATGGGTGAATAATCAGAGTCGAGCCGGGGGCCAATGCAGCCGCTGTATACACGTAGTTCAACGGTATACACCGTGTAGTTCATCCATAGTCCGATACTATATATTTAAATATAAACCTTTGACCTTCGATGAGTGTACACTTAACGGGGGAAGTCCTAACGTACGTGGGGTACGAGCGTGTCATATCGACCAATACATAAAATGAGACACAAATTCTCGGAATAGAATTGACCCAGACACTTTGAATGGGAGTTCCCACCGTCTCATGCTACCATGTGTATATATACAGCTAAACCATGACTGCCCACATGCAACTTCATTCGTTCTGGTCAGCACTGAACACAGACGGACCCCTACAAATATCGTCTGTATATATACATATATTATTGTATACCACGATAATGGCTACACTTTTCAAAATAGGTTGGTATCTTACCTTTGAGTCATCGAACATGTCGGTTTTCTCGTTCCTATCTCCGTCGTTCCTCAGTATTTATTGTGAATCGCGTTCTCCTCTCACGGCATATTGTCCATTTCACAGGTATCCTGACACTACTCTTAGTAGTTATAATGCATGGTTGTATTGGAAAGCCGGTCAAAGATGGGAAAAAGGGGAAACACGGCAAAGACGAGAACGGAGGACGCAGCACAAGGGGATCAACGGATATAAACGACGAATATAGCCGATTGGTGTTACTTGTCAAAATTTTACAAAAAAAGACTAAAGAAATGTATACAAAATATGTAAGTATATAAAGCTGTTTTTATTCAATAGAGGGATCCTGATAAAATTAATTGTATAATAGTCATGAGTTGGTATTTGTTTGTAGAAACTCAACGAAAATAAATTGTCATTCATTAACTAAAGATTTCTTTACTCGAAGGCGGTAATGACCATCACGTAATTTTGTTTCGTTCTGTATATAAAATTTGATGACTGGTTCTGTTAATTTGTACATTCAATCTGATGTAATCTTTAAGGAATCAACCATTTTAAATCATGGGGGTGGCTGTCATTTTTGTTTAGAAAAAATTGAAATCTGGACACAGAGAATAGAATTTGCATGCAAAGTGTTACAGGCCAAAGTTGCACAGATAAGAACGAGAAAACAAAAATTGCACCGGACACACTTTTCCGGTCACCCCTACTATTTCAACCTCATAACCACATCCGGGTAGCAAACTCCCAACAAGTCTTTACATTGGAGACGTAAAGCAGCAGCATAACATGTACGTCACCAAGACAAGGACGGCCCTGCATTATTATGCAAATTCCAGAAGGAGTTGTATTGAAGTTTAGTAGGAAACCCCATGACCAAAATAGGTCGGCATGCGTAGGTGACAACAAACAAAGTATATACTAGTATACATATAGAAACTCCCACATGACTTAGTCTCCGGGTCTTTACGTGTCTTTACGTCGTCTTTGGTACGGCTGCCGGAAACGTCTATGCTTGTACCACTCTATGATAGAGGGACTGTGATTGTACTGGCCATTAACTCATCGCACAAAAACATAATGGTGTGCTGTTCTTTATCTGTTTATAGGAGGATAGCAACCCGAAACTAATGAATGAACTATCGACTCATCATGTGAATGGCCTGCCGAACGCTATTGACAGACAAAGTGAAAAAAAATTTGAAGTAAGTGTTACTCGAGAGTAGTTATGGGATATATATAAATTGCATGAGTTGAACACTTCCACCCTCGCATTCGTATGTGTTTGAAGTCATATCGATTTATTTGAAATAGGAAAAAAAATGCATTTAAATATATCAGTCAGTAACTTTTTATTCGTTTTAAATAACATTAAAGCCTACATGTTTCGACTTCTTGTAATGCCAACATCGATTAAAGACAGTGCTGATTTTTGTTTTTCTGATTTTTTTTATATTTAGGAACAAGAGCTGCTGATGGCACATCGACGAAATCTGGAGATGTATTCACTATTTATGAAGAAAGCAATGAAATCACTTGACAAGAAAGAGAAACGTATTTTCAAGAACATATATCGTTTTGTTGGAAATACAAAAAACAAAATAGCTGACATAGTAAGTATAAAATGTGTCCTTGTTACCCAGAATACACCATTCACGGATACATTAAAATTACAGATTGTTTGTTCCTTGTGTAAACCTCTTCGCCACTAACTTATAATAATCCTTTTTTTTCCTAAATTTCTTTTTGTTCAGTTGTCTTTGTTGGGATGCACAGACGAAGTCAGAGAAAACCTTTCCAAGGAAGAGAAGAAAAAGGCGAGGTCCATTAGCAAATTCCAGCCATCAGAATACCGAGGGGTTAAAGTGGTGTATGAATTATTCATGTACATTGGACGTGCTAAGCAAGGCGTGGAATCGCTCAGCACGAAACACGAGATGGACTGATAGTCCCATTGCGCGTGCGCAGTGGTATCACGTGATTTACATACCCGGATTACGACTCTCCTATGGTAGACGTTTGTAATCTCCAAAGTACGAGTGCTAAGCACTCATTTCAGTTTATTTGTTATACAAATACTTATACTTTTTAAAAACTTTTTTGAATTTTTTTTTTTTGTACTGTCAGTTTCTTGACTGACACAAATGACCAAAAATCTGCAATAATATTAATACAGTGGAATGGCTACAGAGTACTAGAAACACTCTCTGTCTTTCATTCTGCGTTGCCGTATGGTGCTATTTTCTGTTGTTGTTTTTTTGTTTGTTTTTTGTTTCTCACTTGTGAGTTAAGCATAATTAAGTGTAATGATAGCACCCAATGGAACTAACACCATTGGGTTCTTAGTTTAAAGTATTTTCGGATTTCGGATTCAGCATAAAAACTGTATTATGTACAATATTCATATATTTGAATTTTATAATGTTATTTTTTTTTAGAGTAAAAGGTGTATTATATACAGTATCTTATATATTTCAACGGTTTACTAGGTCACGTAGAATTATTATACCTAATTTTTGTATTTTATTAATATATATATATATATATATGATTCACTTACTTGAACGAAGTCTGACATATAAAAGTTTCGAAGAGTACGGTTTGCAATATATATTTTCTAAATTGTTTTGTATTTATTTGTAGGATTATATCGCTAATGATATTAATATTTATCAATTTTTAGGATGTGTGGGGTGTGTTTTTTTTTTCGTTGACCGAAGCAGGTGTTAAAACATAGAAACAAATATAAAATATTTGAATTTTAATAGCTTTTTTCATTTATATTATTTTGGTTTCAAAAACTTTAAAAACTTAATTACTATATTTTAATTGTTGTTTTGATATTTATTATTAGTTTCATGATATTTATAAGTTATTAATTTTTATTTATCTATTTATTGTATTTAATCTTTTTATATATTCCAATTTTAAATTTAACATGTATTTGAAATTCTCATTCGTTGGGGGGGAATTACCATTTTCACATGCTATGCAGACAATTTTGCCGTCAGTTTGAAGTTAGTAAATATTAATTTTCCAGGAAAGGCGTTCTTGGTGAAATATTCGAAAAATACAAGAATTAAATATATGTGCAAACTTTCGTAGGATATTTTAATTCGAAGCCATGTGTGAGCTTATACGCCCACGTCATAATAAACTTACAGGTGTCACTTTTTGAATGTTTGATAAAGAATTTTTAATGGTTATTTTTGTATAAAATTGAAAACTATGTGCAATAAAACTGTTCAATCAACTTTCATATTCATTTCTGTTTTAGTGGGTGAATCACGTTTTTGCCCCCACATACATTACCGAACATCTGTGAATAGTTATTAGAGCGAATCACCCTCATAATTGGGATTATACATTTTTACGTGACGGGTACATCATTGGCATTGTGCCAGAATGTATTTATCTTAACATTTCTCGAGGGGCCTCGAGTATAAACTAAGAACCGGATATAATGATGATAATAAAACTCAGCATACATCTTGGGGATTTAGTGTATGTTACTCATATGCGTTCTACACCTTACCTAAAATGCGTACCAGTGCAAATACAAACCGCGTTTATCAAGAGATTTCAAACATTATTTTAATATGATACCTGAATGTCCAGATTTGCGAATGGAATGTTAGTGAAAACAAACCAGGTTTGAAATGGCTTGGTCAACTTTTGCAATATTTTAGTTACCACTGTGATTGAATAGGCTTCATTTCTGTGACTTTCGAATCATGTAATGATACTATTTTATTTTTGTTTAAATAATTGGTTCTATGTGTAAATAAGTCCGGCTTGACAATTTTTTTAATTGTGGCCAGTGGATAGTTGTAACAATAAATTCATAATAATTAATGTAATAACGCGAAATAAAGTCGTCGAAGTAAAGTACGAAACGGGTGGGTCAAATATTTCATTGTGAGAAAATGTATTCAAATTAATAAATCCTGTAAAGGCTGAATAAATACCATCACATATTTTTTGTTAGAGAAAGTAAATCATTCCATGAGAGCCCCGGAATATACCGACCTACTTAAGTTACCGTGGTAATAGACAATTGAGCACATGATGTTCTGATCTATTACGTCATCGCAAGGTTGCCTGTCATTGGTTAGAAAATAATTTAGGAAAATGACGGAATTCATGACATACTCAGACAAATACACCGCGTGACACTGAAATTCGCCAACAGTTTATTCGCCTTTTATTTTTGACATGTAATGCCGGTTGGTAAGCGTATGGTAAAGTGTGCGAGTGTTCCTGGCAGAGAATTTCTAGTTGGCGACTGAGTCATAAAGATTCACCATCTTGAGCCATTACGACTAATCGTCGACCGGTCGCTGACTGAGATCGTGTTGTATATGGTGCCCACTCGTAGACGAGCCTATTGTATTTGTTATTATGTGATATGCAATTTGTTTACTATAAAACATGACGTTGTCGGAGAAAGATGAAAGATTATATACTAATGTAGGAATACTTTGGAAATACTTTTCTGATACCATTACTGTACCAGGTCAAATTCTGGTCATTTGGAAAACTACTTGAAATATTTGAAAAGGTTTTGTATAATAATTAATGTGCAATAAACCAATAGCTTGGAAAAAATGTGTAACCTGTATTTTATCTCGAGATAGAACGCAAAAAAGACGGACAGCACGCATGCGTCAGTGGCGAACGCGTCGTTTGCAATCGTGGCGTGCGCGTGTGTATGCGTTCCGTCTGAAACATCGAGTCGTAGAACAATCGCATCAAAATCGACAGGTGTGCACTGGGTTGAACAGTTGTATATGTAAAGCATGAGTGGACGCATTCACAATCTAAACAAGTTGGATAAGTACTCAGGTAACAAAAAATTACAAAATGCGACGAGCCACTAAATAAATAAACCGACAGTTTACCTTGACCTTGAGGTCCGTCAATGTGACGTCCTAGATTAAGGGATCTCATAGCACAGATACCAGCAGTACATAAATGTTGAACTTTGGCCCTAAAAACTATAATTGATTGTATTTATTGGTTTCCATGCTGTTCCGGCCAGGAACTACATACCTGAGTTGTGAAGACCTGAACCTGTCAGTTATCGTACAGGGTGACCTTTGACCCAAATAACGTGAGTCATAAAACTAAGATGAGAGAATTAAATATGATAGTCACCGTGAAATCCACTTGTAATTGTATTTTCGCTTGGACCAGGTACTCACTATTCAACCATAATTGCTCTTCCGTATTTGGAGTATGTTTGTCGGCCACGTTCTATGAAACAATGTCGTGCATTTTGTCCCATTTCTATGGGTTGAGATTCGTCGACTTCACTCCACTTTAGAGAAGAATATTCATTGACTTTGTAATTATTTGAAGGAAAAAATGTAATTTAAAATCTGCGGCTTTTTCCCAAAAGTAGGATTACACAACTAGAAAATAAACTTGACAGTTACATTGTTGTCGGAATCCTTCGCCGATTGTGTAAATACTCTTATTTGTTGGACAAACTGCTAAAACAAAAATGAATTATTCTGGTGACCTGATATGTCCTGAGATGACATTCATAGAGACAGACGACAAACAGACACATGACGTAAATATTTACAGGTGTGGTCCGTCAACGCCACCATGAGGTGATCTATAGAAATGTTCAATACCGCACGTATGGGAGACTCGCTTCCCCAGATTCAACTAATTCTCTAATTGGTGCGAATCCAATTTAATCTGATTTATGTTTTTATGAATCTTCAAACGTTACTGCCGTGCATCGAAGGAACGTTGATTAACGCTGACACTTTGGACTCTCGCCAGGTAAAAGTACGTCACGTGACACGGGGTTACCGAATGACTAATATTTTTACCCTGCTGACCCAACAACCTACAATTCGAATGCCCATTGAAAAAAACATATACGGAATTTAACTTTGTGCTAAATTTAATTTGTTGTACCATGGATATTCCTAATGTTATATCATTAAAAGTAAGAATGTTCAATCAAACTTTATTTACCTGTGCATAGCCGAACTGTAGGGTTGAAGTTAAGTATATACAGCACAATTTATCAACGCGTCCACATATGGCTTCTTGTAAGTAATCTTAATTTCAATCCCTTTTGCGACAGAAAGAATATGTAAACCCAACATTGACAAATTAATACGTTCGATGACATTTGGATTTGGAGTTAAACTTAACGTTAACATTCTGGTTATATGCTTATACAAATGTAAATCCGTTGAAAATTGTATAATTTTTACGTGGACCGGATACTCGTTTTACTATTTCGAGTATGCATGTTAGACTTTGCCATAAATGCTTTGCGTTTTGTCTCAATTTCGTGCTTTAAAATTCGTTTACTTCATTCCATTTTAAAGAAAAATATTCAATGATTTTGCTCGCGTTTTAGGGGAATACGATTAAAATTCTAACATATCAAGGTTTATTGAATGACTACTATTTTTACCGTGCGAACCCAGCAATCTACAGTGTGTATTGCGACGCGTAAATCTGGTATTAACAAACTAACGGAGAAAACGTTCGATGATATTTAGCGTTTTTTTTTTGTATATCTACTTATGTAAATCTGTCAAGAATATTCGTACCTTGATGATGTAATAAAACACGGTGAAATAAAACTTTTGTATGACGACTTTTAAATTGCTTTTTGCTCTCTTTTATTTAAGATTAGTCATCACATCTTAGATACACGTACCATTTCCTGGTATCTAACCTGTTCTTTTTATGCACTGAGTAGCTTTAGAAGGCATTTATTATGTGTCGCTTTGGACCAATGAACCAAATTGGATAATCATAATATTTCGATTTCACGCTCAGAAAATCCAGAAATATATTTCAAGTTGATCCCCCTGACTAAGGCGCCTATGCATTTCAACACAAAGTCAATATGCCGCCAACAACTAAGTGTACACGTAACGTTATTCACCGTGTGCCGACCCACTTAAAG